ACGACCAAGAGGGTGTAAGAAAGCAAATGAAAAGGAGGATAGAAGAAAAACCAAAACTAGAGAACTGGGAAGTAAGTACAATTACCATTCTGAAGTGTGCTCCACCAGGGCTCTTAAATACTGGCCTGACTTCTTTCTGTCCTTATTCCAGCTGCCTATTAATGTTTCAGTTTACTTTTGTTGCTTCTCTTTCTGTGTACAGTCATCTGGGCTGTCAGCAGTATGGGGCAGTATCCAGTACAGAGTCTAACTCGTCTGTCCAAACACAGAAAGAAACTTGATTCTCATTGCAGTGCTTATTGCAAGAAATAGCTGGAGGCATCACACAGACGTTCTCACACCAAATTAGGGCAGCTGCCTCCACCATTTTATTGTTTGCTCCTTCTGCCCTAGCTCAGCATTGGAAAGCTGCAGCTTCTCTCAGTGGAGAAATCCTCGTGTTTGCAACTCTTAGGTAATGAAGAGGAAGGCACGCTTAATTGCTTGAACCTGAGTATTATGTATCCCTGGACTTTAGAAATGTACTGTTTATTATGATGTTTAATCAGTAGAAATTTAAATACAAAATTCCTAAATTTTAGGTTACTCTACTTTGACATGATTATATTAATGGATTGTTCTGCCACTGTTGGCAACCAGCATCTAAGGATCTTCTCCTTTAACTAACAAACACCTACATTTTAACAGTGTGAAGTAGTTCATACTGTTTTTTATAAACTCACATTTACTTTGGCATAATCTTCATTTTGCTGATCTTTACATAAACCTGCAAATCACTACTCTGATTTTGGCTAGGAAAAGCTACAAATATTTTTTACAGAGGAAGAAGTCCCATGATAATTTCTGTCTGCTGCTTTGTTTAAGCTATCTGACTCCCACACTTCTCCAGAAAACCATGAGATCATTGCTTTGAGACTGAGTAATAGGTTGTTCTAGTGTTCTTCTTCTAATGGAACTGGTAACATTCCAACCAAGCTCCGGTGTTAGGGACAATCTGAAATGTTAAAGCTCACAGCTCCACCAGATGTGGAGCTCTGTGCAGAGAATCACCTCAGGAAAAAGTCTCACAGCAAATACTTTGAGCAGTCCACCCCCCAAATCCTCTTAGGCACTCTTTGAGTCAACATGTCAGATCTAGCAGCTCCAAAACCTGAAAGAGCTCTGTGAATTACTAAATTATTTGCAACTTTGTCCATTGCTGCATTTTCTCTGCTCTTCTATTGCCCCCCTCCTCTCTTCTGTAATAGGCAGTGAGAGCACCTCTGGGAGTCAGTGTTAATCATCCCTCTCTCCACCCCAACTCAACTGTCCCAGGACCCATAGACTCAACCGGTATTGGGTTGCCACACTGAACAGAGTCTGGGTCATGCCTCACCAGTCAAAAACTTCCAGGGAGCAGGGAGTGACGGAGTCTTGAGTGGTGTCCCTGGCCAGTGGGAGTGCAATGGCTATGTTCCTTCTCTCCAGAGTCAGTTGAGCTTGAAGAGCCTAGGGATGACCCAGGTTACTGTTTTTACCTTTCTCACAGACACATGGCTAAGAAAAAGGCCTTTGCAGACCTGCTTTATACCAAAGACAGCGCATGACCTGCTCTACCTTGAGATAGCCCATGAACATAAGTGCTGGAAATATGTGCTGGTCTGGGGTGATGGCCAGACATGGACATAAAAGCCCTGAGGAACACTCGGGCATACTGTTTTTCATGAGGTTTCTTTATGTTGCTCTGTCCACCTGTGTTGCGGAGCGTTTAAGCAGAAAACCCTTAGCCTAGTTTTAGAGGGTAACCTGAAAGCACAGTGTGGGACTATGCTCCCAGGTACCGGTGAGTTTTGTTGACTCCAGAGTCGGCCTCTAGGCTCTATTCCGTAGAGACGTGAGGCAGATAAGGCCTGGGCTGGGGTTCTTGGAAAGAAAATCGTCTTGCTCGATGCTGGCATTCAACCTGTGTTGGCAGATGGTGAGCTTATAAGGGTAGTCACTCAACCTCTCTGTCCTGCATGGAACAGGCTTGAGACATGCCCTGCATGGGGAGGGTTGGTAGCCCAGCAGCCTGGTCGACACCTGCCCACTTCAGCTTTTACCTTGTGACACTGGTATATGATGACGAGAGCTAAATAGGGCTGATTATAAAAAGCTCTGCCATGGAGTCCTGATGTGTGCAAATAAGTGAATTTGGCATGAGCGCTAGAGTGGCTTTGCTGGTACTGCCAGAGGGCTTGTGAATAGCCCATGCTCCTCGGGGCGATGCGCAGCCTGCATGCAACTGGGGTGGTCTGGACATTCTCAGAGGGCTTCTCATGTGCGCATGGACTGGGTGCTGTGCCATAGGTGCCCTCCAGAGCAATGGAACAGAGCAGAAGAGTTGTGAGTTATTATCTCCAATTGTTTATGGTACTATCAAAATCAGCCTCTTAGAGGGATTAAAAAAAACCCTTAAGATCGCCATACAAAACTTAAACCCTTTTTCTCTATTTAAAAATAGAGAAAAAATAGCATTTTTGAATAATCTGGAGCTTAGAAGTACTGTCCACCAGATCTTAGGCCAAGAGAATCACCAAGTCCTGTGATCTATCAGTTCTGTTCCAACTAGAGATCAAAATACGTCAATAGGCAAATGAAGGACAGTTAACTTCTTTATCTCCTCTACCAGATATACATCACTCCCTACAGATTGGTTACCTAAGTGACTGCCACCAATAGCGGCAAAATCGTGGATTATTTTAGAACAGTAATGAGCCATCTTACAAAACAGTGCACTCCTAAGAAGTTCTTTGGTGATCATACAAAAACCTCTTTCACTTTTAATTTGGTGTGTGAAAGTCTTTGCATTTCCCACACTTTTTTACACCTTCTTATGTTAGGTGAATAAAGATATAAATGCTTCCCTGTGTCCCCTGTAGAACTACATTCTGACATTCTGTTGCCACCTACTGGGAGAATTGACAGCATCTCATTTCAGGTATTTCTGAAATCCCAAAGTCTAGTGTTTCAGTACCCACATAAAACTGCTATATTGATAAAATACTAGCTTTCAGGCATTATCGGAAACAGAGAACTGTGCTATGTATTTTTAAAATTACTTCTAAATAAAGAAAAATGAAGTCCATGTTGGCATACAGTTTCAAAAGAATTATCTCCTTTTTGGTAAGAATTGTCATATACAGAATTTCTCTATATATGTTAAAAATTATAGAATTAGATCTAGACATGCAGAATTATCTTCCCTAATATAGCAAGTTCAGAACTATAGTTTCTAATATAAAGATCAGACATTCATTTTGCAGATAAAAAGACCAACTACATCAGTGATGTTTCTGGATGTGCCTGCTTTTCTTTACGACCTTTGAGTAAACCTAATACAAACAGATTTACCAGAAAGGGGACAACGCTCCTCAACGTTTTGGGCAAAATGTAATGCATTTCTGTTGCCCTGTTGGAGTTGTATGCCATGAGTATATGTTTCAGTGAAAACATGGATTTTTTTTTAAAGAAATTTATGAAAGATCAACAGTAAATCCAGCATTAAAAATAACAGTGGTATATATTTGGTCTCCAGGGTGTCTCTCCTTCATCAGTGTTAAGGGAAACCTTCCAGATAACCGCGAGCTCGTAAGCAGTTCGGACACACATGGCAAGGTCAGCAGAACAGGCTTATCATCTTGCTGCAGGTAGTGTTCAAGCACATGGCTGCTCAACAGGTACCCCCAAATGGACACCATTTTTTTTAACCTTCTGTTACCTTTCTCTTGCTTCCTCCCCCTCCTAAATAGACAAACACACACCGCTTTTTCACCATTGGCTCTGTTCTGCTAATTTTACACCTTTATTTGGCAATTTCAGTTAGTACCCCAGTAAGCCAACACCCCCTTCACTTTCTGTTGATATCTTACACTCAAGGCAGGGGTCCCCAAAACTCCCCTTTCACTGTATGTAATACCTGGTAGCTTCTCCTGCCGTTACCTCATTACTTTAGACACAGGTTAGGATTGGCCAGCCACTTTTTCTGTTCCATTATCTGCAACATCCAACAGTTTCTCTTGTTATCAGTTTAACCTCAGGCCATGGCTGGCCACCTGCCTGCATGCCTTAACAATATATTGTTCTAAAATCCTAAAACAATGGGAATATACAAAAATATACTTTATGAAGACTTAAGCTGTGAAGTCGTAGCTGGCGTTCTTAGACATCCCACCTATACCTGTCACACACATTTTTTGTCATGGTTCTGATTTATGGTGATCTCAGTAAGTCTGATGGAGCTGGTAATGCTTCTTTCCTGCATGTCATTTTAAGACCCTTAACTCTTGTCACAGATGTTGTTCATTTAGCAGTTACAACAGAACTGTCAGCATACTTGCACCTCCAGACCAATCCAGTTATGATTGTTACACAGTTTACTCCTGCTGAAGCTAAGAGTACCTGAATTGTGCCCCTACTCATGGCAGCTGGCAAAATCACACCTTCTAACCACCTTCCACAGTAGAAGCAAGGGCACTAGGACAATCTGTATGTTCTTGGCACCAACAGAGTTCTCACTGCATCTCACAGCTTTACAAACATTATGTTTCGAATTAGTATGAAATAAAGACTGAGCACTGTAGGTAACTTCTCCTTACGTAGTGTCCGTAGCAATTATGTGGGACATTTTGAAGCACGAGTTCCTCAAATAATATTACAGCTACATGACTGTATCTTTGCATTGAATAAATGACAGTATAGATGAGAGAGATCCTTTCAGGATATATCAGCAAAAAATATGAAGCCTGTCACCCTCTGAGGCAAAGCGACTAATGACTAATGATTAGCTGGTCATATATCCTGCGTTTACTGTCTTGTGATGTCCTAGTGGAGACCTTATCCTCTTTATAGTCTACTAAGATGGCAATGGACTTGGTGTATGTGAGACAAGCAGAAATGCAGCCACGTGAAAAAAAGAGATGTAGAGACAATCTTATGCACGGAAAAGGACAGAGTGAATTTTAAGATTCCTCTCCCTTATTTTATTCTCCCAATGAGTCATTTCCCACTTCTTCATAGTCCTTCTCCAGGGCAGACAGGTCTTCTCGGGCCTCTGAGAATTCTCCTTCCTCCATGCCTTCACTAATATACCAGTGCACAAAAGCTCTCTTGGCGAACATCAGATCAAATTTGTGGTCAAGCCTTGCCCAGGCATCTGCAATGGCTGTCGTGTTGCTCAGCATGCAGACTGCTCGCTCAACCTGTGCTAGGTCTCCTCCTGGTGTAACTGTAGGAGGCTGATAGTTGATCCCAACCTGCAAATAACAATAGAAAAGATGGAAGAATAAAAAGAGTTTGAGAAAAGGGATGAAATTAGACAATAAACAGGGTAAGAAAATTGTAAAACCATTGGTGGGGGGAGGAAGAGAGCTAGGGAAAAACTCAAACCACATCAGTGTTAAGTCTAATGTCATACAAGCTACTTTTTTGTGCAAAAGTCATTTCCTTACCCTCACTCAAGGGGGGAGGGGGGAAAAAAAAGGGAGACCAACAAGAACTGGACTCTAAATGAAGACAAACTTACAAAAATATGTCAGTATGCATGTAAATATCGGGGACAATGAAAAAAATCTCTTTGTGGAGATGATGTAGAAATGTTTCATTTGCCAACAATATATTATTGATAACTTTTGGGTTTTTTCTTGTTTGGTTGGTTTCGTTTTTTGAATCTCATGAAGGACACTTTCAAGTGTCTCAGTGTCTTTAGAGTATAAGCCTTACCTTGATCTTTCTTCTAAAATGCAATTTCTTTAAGTTTAAAGTCTTATAGGGTTGACATTCTCCTGTTACTGAATACAGAATAACTGTATATGCTCCCATTTATTTTAATATTTACCGCTAGACTGAATTTGCCCTTTAAACATGAAAAAAGTTCATGGCAGCCCTATGAAGCCTGTTGGACACCAGTCAACAAATTGGATAGTTCTCTTGGTCTTGATGGCAGCAATTGCTACGTTGACGTCTTTGGGAACTATGTCGCCACGGTAGAGCATGCAGCAGGCCATGTACTTCCCATGTCTTGGGTCACATTTCACCATCTGGTTGTTGGGCTCAAAGCAGGAGCTGGTGATTTCAGCCACCGAGAGCTGCTCGTGATATGCTCTGTCAGAGGAGATGATGGGGGCGTAGGTCACTAAGGGGAAGTGGATGCGTGGGTAGGGCACCAGGTTTGTCTGGAACTCCGTCAGATCCACATTGAGGGCACCGTCGAAGCGCAGCGAGGCAGTGATGGAGGAGACAATCTGGCTAATGAGGCGGTTCAGGTTAGTGTAAGTGGGGCGCTCGATGTCCAGATTTCGTCGGCAGATATCATAGATGGCTTCATTATCCACCATGAAGGCGCAGTCCGAATGCTCCAGGGTGGTATGTGTAGTCAGGATGGAATTGTAGGGCTCCACCACAGAGGTGGAGACCTGAGGAGCTGGGTAGATGACAAACTCCAGTTTGGACTTTTTTCCGTAATCCATGGAGAGGCGTTCCATCAGTAAGGAGGTAAAGCCAGAGCCGGTACCCCCACCAAAGCTGTGGAAGATCAGGAATCCTTGCAGCCCAGAACAGGCATCAGCCTGAAAGCCAACAGGAAAAGTGAAAGAATAAGTAAACGTATCTTTAAATTACACCCTCAAATAGAGACAGCAACACCCACACCCAGTGCACAGCAGAAAAGTCAGCAGTTTTCCCAGAAAATTCTCATTGTCTGTTTTCCCCTGTAAATCTCAGGCTAGAGTATCAATAGAGCAATACTGATTTTTTTTTCTTACAATAATAATGCTATAGCAATATTTGAGGTTTTCCATTTAAGTCTTCCATTCATATGAAAATTAAGATGGGACATCCGGGATCTGCATTTCTCTGTTCTGAGCCAATGACAATAGTAAAAGCAAAACGAGAACCACTATCAAAAAAAAAAAAAAAAAAAAAGCATGTGGTGTTTATCTCCCCTCCCATCCTCCTAACGTCTTGCTTCCAATGTAATAGTGCATACCAGCTTGCGGATATGATCTAATGCTATGTCAATTTTGTCTTTGCCAACAGAGTAGTGGCCACGTGCATAATTATTTGCTGCATCTTCCTTTCCAGTGATCAGTTGTTCTGGATGGAAAAGCTGCCGGTAGGTGCCAGTCCGCACTTCATCTGAACAAGAGAGAAAAAGCGTAAGCTTGGAAGAGATACTTCACAAAGGTTGACAATGTTTGCAAAACAAATGGAGCATTTTATGTTGGCAGAAAATGGTATGGAAGATCTGTATGTTGAAAAACAAAGTACAGACGTGAGCAGTATCATCCGAGATGATGTTTTGATGTTCAGTTTTGAAAAAAAAAAAAAAAATGGACTCTGCTCTAAGTGTAAGTTGCTGTGTTATACGAATGAATTAATTTATCAAATGAGGGCTGTGCCATGCTGTGGTAAAATTTCAGCTCTATATACTGATCAGGTGAAGATCCATCAGAACCTTCAGGGGAATGACTGGAAAAAGAGGAGATTTGCAAGAGTAAAACAGTGGTCTCCCCTGAAAATCTGTCAGGACACTTCTGTTGTCTGATTCTTCATGCTCCTTTCTTGTATCTGAATGTAAAGAAAGCATTTTCCATCAGTTAGCAAAGGAAAAAATACCACCACAAAAAAGACCAAAAAGGAATCTCTTCGAGAAAGCTAAATTGTACTCATAACCAGTGGAGGTTTAAACAATAGTAAACTTTCAATTTTATTAATTATTAGTAGAGCACCCATGACAGAGTGCAGTCCAGTTTTCATCATTTCATTGAGAATAACAGAGCTTTTAGTAGTACCTGGTATTAAAAACTTAAAATCTGTACGTTTTGCCTGCACGCTGGGATCATCCCTAATGGTAAGGGCATTGTCCTGCTATTCAGTGATCTGAACTTTGGCACCCAGAAGAGTTAATTAATTTCTGTTTTCCAAGATTAGTTCTATACTGACCTATTACAGTTTGCTCCAAGTCCACCATAATAGCCCGGGGCACGTATTTTCTAGAGCTTGTCTCTCTAAAGAATGTGGCAAAAGACTCATCATCGCTGGGTTGGTCGATGAAGGTGCCATTTGGTTGAATGCCATGCTCCAGACAGAAGAGTTCCCAACACGCATTGCCAACTTGAACTCCGGCTTGGCCAATGTGAACAGCGATGCACTCACGCTGAAAGGGGAGGAATGGTAAGGACCAGTGAATATCCTAAAAGTCTATAAGCTGATCTTACCTGAAACCCCAAATCAACCAATGATTACAAAATTTTCCACAAGACTGGAATTAATGGAAAATATTCTGACACTTATTTACAAATAGGAAGAAAAATATTTTGCTGTGCATAGAAAGAAACAATAATCACAACAGCTAGAGATTTGCAGCCATGCCTACGCATGGTGTACAGTACACGGGATCTACGTGTAAGTGCACATAAGCCCATACAGATAGAAAAACTGTGTATAGGTACACAAAATAAAAAACAGCTAAGGAATATGAGCCAAGTCTAGTTATCCGGGACAAGACACAGCTACCCTGCCTTATTGATACATAGATAAAGCAAAGGGAATGATGTTATCTTCTGATCTCTCAACCTTCTGTTGAACATGTGTGTTGGACAGGTGGAAAACAGGTTTGTAGAAGTCAAAGGAACAAGAATTAAGGTGCCTTTAGTACCTTAATTCATTTCAACCACTGATTGTTTTGGCCCATTCTCTGGGTACTTTTAATTCAATTTAACATGTGAAAAGTTAACTTGATACTCAAGGGGACTTGGTACTCTTTACATGTTAGTCTAAATTAATCTCCCGAGAAATCCTTCTCATACATACACTTCTGTAATCATGGCTGTTCAGTCAATAACCAGTTTCTAAAGTGTTTATTATTGTGTCATGCACATAGTTTAATAACAGAAATCTGAAACACAAAATATAATATCATATTCTAAAAGAAAAAGAAGTGTGCCTCCTTCTATAGACTGCTATGCAGACTCCCAAGTACTGTGAATTTAAAGGGTTCTCTGAAAAACACTCTTTTTGGACACGGTATATTTGAATGTGAATCTTTCCGCAGATGATTCCCATCCAGTCTTATGGAGTATCTAGGGAAATGTCCACATTTCTTTGCTCTTAATACTCATAAGCAGTAGGAAAAGGCCATTAATACAGGTTAAACATACTGTATTCAAAGTACATCCAGAGTAGCTTCTACCCAAAGAAGAAAAGTAAGTTCCAAGCCCATCCTTCTTTTTCTGCATATAACTTCCCTTATAATAAATTTACTAACACGTATTGGATTCTAAATTTATTTACCAAGGAGCTAATACAATCGTTTGTTTGTACACTGTGAGCAACATTTGCTGCCCCCAAAATGAAGCAAAAGAAGTCACTTCAACCTTCCCACCTTCACTCAGATCTTGACCAGAGTAGGGGGAAACAGAAGGCCAAAGTCATTGCTCATTATCTCATAAAATAATCTGATTCTTTTCTTACCATGGTTTCTCCTGCGTGCTTCCTTTCTTGATTGGTGGTAGCAGCAGCTTTGGTTACTGATGTTTCTACTGTTGTATAGTCAGCCTGGTGCAAGGTGGCATGGCATCCACACCTCGCTTGCCGGGGCCCCGCAACATCACAGTGTAGGCAGGAGAGGTCATAATCTCTCCTGGGCAACCGACCCATTCCGCCCACTCACCTCTTACACCAGCAGCCTGCTCTCACCCATGTACAGGACCCAGCCCTAAAGTCTGTTCTTAAGCAAGTCTTCCCAGTTAATTCTCCAAGCTAAACCTTGTGGGTTTTTTTAAAAAAACAAGAAAATTACAACTGGTACTAGTAACCAGAATTTTAACACATACAGAGCGTCTTCACAAATAACTGGTTTCGTTCCTTAAAACTCTAACAACTGGTGAACATGCTACTGATAACTCATTTAAAAGATTATTAACCATTTCAGAATTTCTTCATTTACACTTTCAAAAGGCAGCATAATTTTTAAATGGCATCTTTCTGACAAAGGCATCTGTAGATGAATGGTGGACATGGAGTTAACTTGCCTAAGTTCCACTGACTGAATGAGCTGGGGAACAGGTTGAACTGCAAGGAATTTCACTTGACTGACTATTTGATCATTTGTGGACAAGGTACACTGGATTATCTTCTTGTCTCCTGGTGCTAAGGCACCAAACCTTCTCTTTCTGCCAGCCATTCCTTATCTTTGTGACCTCTGTTCATCTGATTATAGACAACTGTTCTTCAGCCTTTCAGCTGCCTACCATATGGGCCAATACAAGTTTTTTGCATCTAGCAAGAAAATGGCAAAACAAAAAAGCAGAACTATAATTTGCTCCTGTATCTGGAGCTAATAGCAGAAAGTTCACACACACATGGCCGCACACACACACACATTCTCTCTGATAAGGCTTAAACAGTAGGATCCCCATGGCTATGTCTTTTCCCTCCATGATATAATGAGAGTGCAGGGAAAAACACAGCTAAAGATAAATACCAGGTACTTTATTCTTAGTAGTACTGGTCTTGGCCATCCCAAGGTACACAGAGACACATATTTAAAAAAAAAATATGCTGGATCTTTCACAGAAAGTAATTGCCACTCTCTGAACTCCTATGAAAATGCAGATTTATACCCTACCAACATCATCGGTTGATTAGATCTCATCAGATTCACACTGAACAAGTCCTCAACTTAATTAAAATATGCCTGTACAATGAGGACACGTAGTGAAACATTTCCAGAAATCATTTGAAAACTGTAGAGTATCAATACATTAAACGCAAACGTTTTCATATACTCAATCACAGCACAAATAAGCAACTCCACGAAGAGGTAAATCAGTAGTCACTTTACTGTGAAAATTAAATATTGCAGTTTCAGTTTTAATAGCAAAAAAACCCCCAATCGCTTGTTTCTGCCTTCTTGCCCTCTCATGATGAATTAAATACAATACAAATGCAAAATCAGTAGTACTCAAAAACCAGTAAAGGTTACCAGCCTGCACTTAAAATCAAGTTGAATGTTAAAGTCCTGGTAAATGAGTGGCTATGACATTTAACAGCATTCTAAACATAATGTATGGTTATGTATGGCCTGCTCAGACCACTGGTCCCAACCTCCAAAATTGCATCTCTGCCATCTAACTGAAAATGTTAATAGAAAACTAGAGCAAAAAATGGTTGTTACCTAAACAGTCAATTTGGTGAGAATTGGGCCTGACTTCAGAGTGAAGTTTGCTATTTCATTAACTGGCTTACAAAGGACTTAAGGTGAGGCCTTTCAAAGTAGGGGTCCAGTAGACAACCTAGTCATTTCTTGAAAGAGCTCAACTCCGGAAGAGCTTCTGTGTTTTATTCTACCTGGTTTCGCATCAACTGTTGGTTGCAGAGTTGGAACTACACTTACAGTTGGATTACAAGAACCATCTAGCAATATCAAAAGCAGCTCTTCCCTACGTGCGCAGAGTATTTAAGAAATAACTTTTTAATATGGTGAAGCATTATGTGCTACTTACCCTGCTGTAAAGTCCTAGCAGAGACAAAAACTTTGGGCAGGGATATGGGATTGTTTTCGTTTTTACTCGAGACAACTTGTTAGTGCATTCATGAATGACCTGCCCCAGTTTATCCGACACTAATGTTGGAGTATTTCTCTATTGGGATAATTCAAGAAGAAACAGACACAGAACTATTTTTAGCAGTGAAGATGCAGACTGTTTTCAAAGCGTCCTGGTAGATAGCAAAGCAACAGATTGCACACAGTTTGAAGGCACCAACAGCCTGCTATCCTTGGGAAGAAAACTGAAATAGCCACCACCTCAGTGTATGGCTACTGCTAGAGACAAAAGAACAACCTGAAGGCGACTGCTGTTGTAAGACACGACACTGGGATCTATATTGGCTACTTTTCACAGGTTTGGTGTGTTGGATAGAATCTGCCCACCAAAAAGGCTGTTTTGTTCAACGTTTTGTAGTTTGGGCTGACATCAGTCAGCCTGCATCCTTTTGGCACAGATGCTGGGCTATTTGTTTGCCACAAAGACTCCTTGCCTTTAACTTGTCCTCTCCAGCACACAACAGTTTGCTTCAGTGAAAGCAGTATTTAAGTAGGTCAGTGCTCTCTCATTTGGAATCTACCCTTTGTCAATCGATGATACGTGGATGGATGGAGAAGAAATTAATGTTCTACCCCAAACCTCCAATTGCTGCCCCAAGTGGTCAGAAATAGGGTCGGTCTGGTGATAGATCTTCTACGATAATAATTTTCTTGCCACAGATCTGGGGAAGGTTTTGGGAAGTATCTCTTTCTACCTATTAATAAACTTCTGTTCTGAATGATAGAGCATTGCTAAATGGCTCCCATGTAACGCAGGACTTTAGATATTGAGGGCAGGGGGGCAATTCTAGATATACGGAGACTTTTTGACGGGTCGGTCTGGTGATAGATCTTCTACGATAATAATTTTCTTGCCACAGATCTGGGGAAGGTTTTGGGAAGTATCTCTTTCTACCTATTAATAAACTTCTGTTCTGAATGATAGAGCATTGCTAAATGGCTCCCATGTAACGCAGGACTTTAGATATTGAGGGCAGGGGGGCAATTCTAGATATACGGAGACTTTTTGACATCTGCATATTTTTTTTTAAAGAGTAAAACAATGCAACAACTTCAGTTGTTCAATGAGACAATAATATAGAATATAGTTTAAAAAAATAAGTCTACTTCCTTACCACCACCACATGCTCCTAAGAATTGCTATGCATCAGGCAAGCAAAAGTGCTGTAATTTGCATTTAAGAAGAGTAGGTGCAGCACAATAGTCTTTGTGGCCCACCACCTTGGCTTTCTGGCTTAAATATGACTAAAATCAAGAGCACCTGTATAAGGAGGCATCAGTCACAAGAGAAACCATGGCCTTCAAAATGCAATAGGCTTCACTTTCTCCAGTGTTTTTCTTCCACATGCTTGTCCTAAATCCCATGCTGCAAGAACTGGGCTTTTCAGATGTCAGGCAAAACAGAATATTCCCCTAATTATTGGTACTCCGTTGCCTTTTACAGTCATGCCGCCAGGAAAACTACTTCACTTGTTCGGAGAACTGCCCAGCATTTGCAAGGATGAAACCTTCTTCCATAGTTCGTAACTGGCTACACAGCCCTCACTCAAGAGCTACATCCACAGCAAAGTGTTTGAAAAGAAGGATTCTTATTCGGTTATAGATTACAGAAGGCGTGGCTTTACTCTGGTGTTGGACAGAACGGTGCTGTAGAGCCAAGCAAAATATCAGGAATATTTGGTGTGGTTTCAAACTTCATACAACACCATTCCCTGTCTGAAGAAACGAAGGTATCACTGCACAGGAGTTCACAGGTGATCATCTCAATTAGGACGCTGATTTCAACAGTCCTTGAAAAGCCTGATAACATCCTCAAGACAAGGCAACACTTCTACAGCAGCAGAGAAAAACGCATTCTGTGACAGAAGACACTTAGTCTTGAATTGGAGGCCTATGCCTTGGAGAAAATAC